TTCCCAAACGTCTTGGCAATCATTGAGATGTTTCTTAGCAAAATTCAGACGAGCACTAATGTTCCTTTTGCTTAACAGTGGTTTGAGTCTTGGAAATCGGCCATGCAGGCCATTTTTGCCCAGTCTCTTTCTTATGGTGGAGTCGTGAACACTGACCTTAATGGAGGCAAGTGAGGCCTGCAGTTCTTTAGAAGTTGTCCTGGGGTCTTGTGTGACCTCTCGGATGAGTTGTCTCTGCGCTCTTGGGGTAATTTTGGTCGGCCGCCCACTCCTGGGAAGGTTCACCACTGTTCCATGTTGTTGCCATTTGTGGATAATGGCTCTCACTGTGGTTCGCTGGAGTCCCAAAGCTTTAGAAATGGCTTTATAACCTTTACCAGACTGATAGATCTCAGTGAGTTTAGGTCTAATTTGTTCTTGAATTTCTTTGGATCTTGGCGTGATGTCTAGCTTTTGAGGTGCGTTTGGTCTACTTCTCTGTGTCAGGCAGCTCATATTGAAGAAACTGGTGTGGCAGTAATCAGGCTTGGGGGTGGCTACAGAAACTGAACTCAGGTGTGAAACACCACAGTTGAGTTATTTTTAACAAGGGGGGCAATTACGTTTTCACACAGGGCAATGTAGGTTTGGATTTTGTTCTCTCCCTAAATAATAAAAACCATCATTTCAAAACTGCATTTTGTGTTTACTTGTGCTATCTTTGACTAACGGTTAAATGTGTTTGATGATCAGAAACATTTTGTGTGACAAACATGCAAAAGAATAAGAAATCAGGAAGGGGGCAAAGAGTTTTTCACACCACTGTATGTCTGAATATCCAGAGGACGTGTTGTAATCACACAAGTCAGTCCAGTCAAACACAAGGGAGACCGACATCTGCTGATGGTTTATTTCTGTGTGTGTGATCACCTCTTCTGGTACTCCCAGTCTCTTTGCCGGACTGAAAGGAATGGACCTCTTGAAAAGATGCGGCCCAAGCTCCTTATAGTTCTCCATCGCAGTTTTGGAGAAGATCGTCCCCTGAACCCAAAGAGACACATTAACAAATGAATGTCTTACCACAAGGACTGATAAGAACCTTTACGTACGGGCGCCACTGCGTTGACTCGGACTCCTGAGGACGCCCACTCAATGGCCAGACTCTTGGTTAAGTTATCCACCGCTGCCCTTGCTGCTCCTGTGTGGCTGCCAGTCAGAGGACAATCAGGGGTGTGTGTGTGTGTGTGTGTTTGTGTGTGCGAGAGAGAGAGAGAGAGAGAGAGAGAGAGAGAGAGAACTTGGAGGGAGCTCTTACGCCATGCCCGGGAAGCCCTTCCACATGTCAGCGATGATGTTGACGATGACTCCTCCATGCTGCTTCATCCAGGCAGTGTAGACTGCGGCGAGAACAGCAACAGTCAGAGCTGTGACACCACCAGGCTCACCCAGAGAGGAGAGTGTTCGGGCTACAGGTTACCCTCTTTGCAGCAGTAAAAGGTTCCAGTCAGGTTGGTGTCTATCACAGCCTTCCAGCCTTTAGAGGCGATGTGCTCAGTGGGGCTGCTAAACTGACCCCCTCCATTGTTCACCAGATAGTCTATCCTACCGTACTTCTTCAGCACTGACGAGATGAGAGCATTCACCTGCGGCCCAGGGATGAGAGAAGAGCTAAGCAGATCACCGTGCAGCAGGTAGAAGAGCTGAACATGTGCTCACCTCCTCCTGGTTACGGATGTTGCACGGCACAGGGGTGCTGGGCTGCTGGAAGGGATCTTTTTTCTCATCTCCTGAGCTGCTGCATTCAGCCGATCAGCCTTCCTACTGGAGATCACCACAGTGCAGCCTGATGACAAACAAGGTAGCTAGCCATAACTAAACTGGGACCAGCCCAAAAATATCAAACAGAACTAACTTTTGTTAAAGTTATAAAATAAATCTAACGTTTGTCCTACGTTGGGAGTCTATGGTAACACATTTACTTCATTAATATCTTTTGGGGGAAAGAAATCTAAAGATATTTTTATGTGGTTAGAGCTGTTGCCTTGCAGCAAGGTCCTGGGTTCGCCTCCCAGCTTGGGATCTTTCTGCATGGAGTTTGCATGTTCTCCCTGTGCATGCGTGGGTTCTCTCCGGGTACTCCGGCTTCCTCCCACAGTCCAGAAACATGACTGTTGGGTTGATTGGTCTGTCTAAATTGTCCTTCGGTGTGAATGTGTGTGCATGATTGTTTGTCATGTGTGTCTCTGTGTTGCCCTGTGATGGACTGGCTCTCTGTCCAGGGTGTACCCCGCCTGATTGCCCGTTGACCGCTGGGGATAGGCACAAGCCCCCCCGAATCTAATCAAATGACATTTAAATGCTCTAAATATTCATGCATATCAGTAGTAAAACAGAAGCAGCTTACCAAAATTAAAGTAGGATAAAATGTCTCAGATCTGATTCATGTTCAACCTTTATCTGGCGTAAATGTAACGAAACCATTTTGATCATATTCATGATATCTACATTATCCTCCATCTGACTCCGTTCCATTAGGGCAGGCTGTCATGTCAACACCTCCTCTGTACCAAAGTTCGCTGCTGTCGCCAATGGCGTCCACACGTAACTCTCCGTGTTTGAGTGAAGCAGAAAATAAAAGGATGACCAGCTCAACTCTAGTTGACTCACCGAGCTCCAGCAGCTCCGCAGAAATAGCTTTTCCAATCCCGGTTCCTCCTCCGGTCACTATCGCTACTTTATGGTTGAACAAGCCGGCCCTGAACACACCGGACGCCGCCATACTGTCTCTGTGAGTGAAGCTCAGCAGCGCCCCCTCTGGAGACTCATATACGCCACTGGATGCTACATGCTAGATGTGGATTTTTACAGCAATTAAGTTTTATTTTTAATGAAGCACTTTGAGCCTAAGGTACAGATACCAGCAAATCATGCTTACATTTATTCTATTGGGTTTGCAAGGATGATTTAGAAATACATCAGAAAATCCTACTCCTAACATAGCTGTATAACTGAAAATGTATAGAATGAAAAACGTAGTTTTTCATTATCAGATTAATTAAGCCTATTTTGTCATCCAGTAGACTAACCATTGTTTGTCTGTGGACCACTTTCTTTGCACAAAAAAGCAGGAAGAACAAACTACTGGCCAATTGATTTGAGGACAAATTGACTTGATTCTTGTAAGATGTTTGAGAACTTTCATGGAGGATAATCCACAGTATTTTTTTTTTTCAGTTGACACAATTTTGATTCTTTTTTTTTACATAAGCCATGTCGTTTGTGCTGAAAACAGAATCAGTGGCAGCATTGTGACTTCTGTGTGATGCACACTAATTACACCTGGAACCAGAGCTCCTTTGATGTTACATTTAAAACAAGCACAGAACAACACTTTTCTCCAGTCGGCTTTATTTTGGGATGTTCATGCCATGCCAGAAACATTCTAGAAAATAAGTCCCAAATGAACCAGTGATCCTTGAACACTGATTTACTGGTCCTTCAGCTCCTTCAGCCTCCTGATTGCTGACTTGACTGTGACAGCAGATGTTGTGCTGCAAAAAAACAAACACCACAACATTAATCATCAAGATAAACACCCATCTTAATTAGAACATGACCACCATTTTCTTAAAGGGTTTTTTCTTCATAAAAAGGTCCACTGCTAAAATATTTAAAGACCAAGTTCACTAGTTCTTTTAACACGTTTGTAGTGGTCTCTAGTATGAATGAATGCCTTGTGAACCCGTCTCTGTGGGGGAAAAAAGCTCTCGTGCTCCTGTTTCAGGAAGTAGACGTGAGCCTCAGCAGAGGTGAGGTGACCTTCAGACAGCAGGGTTTGGAGGCTCATTTCCTGATATTCGGACATCTTGCTCCTGATTGGCTAACAGAAATGTAACTTCACCATTCAGTTTAATATCCACAAATAACACAAGCCTGAACCAATGTTGAGATGCTAATACTAACAGTTAACTTCTACTAGCTAAGAAATGCTCTGCTCTCTCCTGGACGCTAAGCTAACAACAGCCTTCCTCATCCTGAGCCAAGACGGACGAGTCCATGAATGCTCATTTTCTGTGAGACATAGATCAAAGTGTTTTTTCTAATTCGAACATTTAGCCGACCATTTTCCATCAGTGGCTAATGCAGGAAATAGGAGAAGTAGACTATTTTCATGTTCAGCCTGCATTTGGAACTCAAGTGACCACATAAAACAAAAGTAAAAATAGTTTCTCAGTGAAGTTGGCCTTTAAGAAAATAAACTATTGCCTGAAGAGAGCAAAAGGGATGATTCATATAGTGGCTGGGTTGTTTCACATTGGCAGAACAACAGTGTTTATCTTTAGGAAGACAAGGGAGATATAGTCTTTAAATAATCTGACATAACACACACACACACACACACGTTCAAAAATAAGCACTGTTTTGGTATCGATATGCGTCTTTAAAATTCATGGACATAACTAGTGAAATCCATAGCACATAACAAGCGGTGTTAGAAAATAGTGTTATTTTGCCTCATTGGCTTGCATTCATTTTTTCGTTCTTCCGGGGACCCATGGTCCGGAAGTAGATGGGCGTGACTTAGGCTCCCTATGCCACCTGCTTTCTTTATTTGCAATGCAACAAAACAACAGAATGATTCTCTACTTTAGTTCACACACTGCTATTTTACCGACTGATATCAGTTTAAAAGTCCAAACTCTCACAGTCAAGCGGTATTCACAATCAGTCACCAACTTTAGAAAATATGACCAAACTTTCAAATTAATTGCATTTGCTCATACCAAGACGCATGGTTTGTATAATGGAATAAATTGATGAGCTATGTGTTTTGGACTGAATTAATTTGATTTAACAAATCTAACTGTTTTTTGTTTGTCAATTAATGGAAATACATTTCTGAACCTGCATAAAAGCCCCGCCCCCAGTTTGATTGACAGCAACGGGCAGCTTTCTCCACACAGTTTATGCTAGACTTAAACTCGAAACAGGAGACTGTCAATAATGCGGGACATGAGTTTCAATTTAGGGGACGTGAGAAAAGTCATAAGAATGCGACTCTACCGCTCTGGTCGCCATAGTGACGACACACTACAGAGCTCTGTTTGCTCCTCTGCCATTTAACAGAGAGAGGGAGAAAAACCCCTCACTGGATATACTGCGATACAGCCGCACTCTTAACCTGAAACTCGCTAGAATAAACGGAGTAGGAAGTGACGCCACCATCAGCGTCAGCTATGAGGATGTTTTGCAGTCCGCAAACGAAACTGTCGGCAAGGTAAAGACAAACCTTTCCTGTGTTTTAAAAAAGAACCAAAAATGGAATTTGAAAGTCTCTAGCTTTGGCCCTCACCTGTTTAAGCTGGCTTTTGTATGACCTTCTTCACCACTCCTTATTCTGCTTTCCCTACCTATTCCACCTTCCTCAGGATCCACAGATTTTCCTCTTTCCTATTCTCTCTCTCTCTTTACAGTTTTAATCAAAACTGCCTATTTTTGCTCTTGTAAACATATTTTAATCATTTTCGATTTTCTTTTTATATTCTAAATTTTTGTTTTTGTGATTTTTATCTTTAGAGGCGCTACAGAAAATATCTTTTTCTTCTTTGGAGAAACAAATCTTTACTTTAAAATGAAACATTGGTAAATCTAGCAACAAAGACAGATGGACACACTGGGAAGCAGAACTGTTCTAAGCAATTTGATTGGTTGGTGGCGTCACATGGGACGCTGTGCTGCATGCAAAAATTAAAGCAGACAAGTGCTACAGCCCAGTACCCAAGGAGGAAAAAAATTCCAGGACATCTTAAACATTTTCAGGACATTTTACATGACTGGAAAATTTATGAATCATTTTCCAGGTTTTCCAGGATGCGTGGGGACCCTGAAAAAACTGCTCGTGTTCAATGGACGAGTTTGTTGTGCAATATTAGTTTGTGGCAGGTCTAGATGAAAGAAAGAGACCAAACAGGCCCCATCTTCTCCAGAGTAGGGTTGAGTAGTATTGGTTATCATCCTGACACACCCAGAAGTAGAAACAGTATTATAAGTGTGAATAAGTTTAAATCTTAGTTACATTTGCATACTTCCTGTAAAAACTGCAAATTGTTAATCACGTAGCTGTATTATTTTGTTGCATAGATGCATGGAAGCATCGTATTTCAACGTAAACAGAACCGGTCATATTAAGCCTTATTCCACCTTTCCCGCAATCCACCAATTTCCCTCTTTCCTATTCGTTTTCTCTTTCCCTTTCCTTATTTTCATTCACATTTTTTTTCTCATTTTATACATATTTAATCTTTTTTTTGTACTTTCAATTTTTTTTGTTTATGTGAAGAGCCTCATGATTTTAATCTTGAGAGGCGATATATAAAATATTGTTTTCTTTCTTTCTAAAGGTGTCTGTACTTCAGTCCCTGTGAAGTCTAACAGAAAGAAGCTTCCAGAGCTCTGCAATGCTCCAGCTTATTTAAACAGCTGATACCGTTTAAATAAGCCAAACTTACAACCCGTGGTTTTTCTTTTACAATATAGTTGCCGGCCGTGACTCTGTAGTAATTCCACATGCGATTGTGACATCACCCTTAGTTGCGCCAAGGCGTAATTCACAAGTCCAGTGTTGTGCTAATATTACTACCAAGCATGGTGACACAAATGTCGCAAAATCCCTGCATCGCTGTGCCGCCACGGCGCTCTCATAAGACACACCATGGCAGCTGTATAATACTGATTTGCCGGTATGGCATGCCTTCTAAAAGCGACTATTGACCGCAAAGCTCCCACAATTAGCATCTGCACTGACATCCAACAGTGCAGAGTCAAGTTGGAGCTAGGAGCAGACAGGCTGGTTTTATACATCTGTACTTGTCGATATTTGTCCTTAGCAAAGCCGATTTAAAGTCAGTCACATCCTCAGGCAGCCCGGTGCTGCTGCAGAATTTATTTTTAATGTATTTTTACATTCACTAATAACTTCTGCATAATAAATACTCTAAATTAACTTTATTTAGATGCCTGACTTTAGTTAAATTCAGAGTTAAACAGATTCAGCTTTAGAAATTGTGTGCATCAACTGATGTTAGTGACATTTTAGCATGAAATTAAGGTGGAAAATTAAATCAGCATTAAACATTTGCCATTGGCTTACCATATCTCCTATATATCGGCATCAGTAATAGAAAAAAGCTGGTCGACCTCTAGTTGGAACCTGAGAATGGTAAACTAGGCAGTACTACGGTTGTACAGCAACACACGCAATGATGAGAGAAGGAACAGAAAACTGCAGTTAACTAGGCATTCTAAAAGGCTTGTCATGGTCCACTAAAGTGGTGTAAGTAACACCTTTTGCACAAAAACAAAAGTCTGCACAGACCTGAAAGGCAGGTGGGTAGAAGAAAACTGTTTAAAACTGTTTCTTCACTGGGCTAAAAAATTACTACTAAATACAAAGATTCTTGAAGTACCTTTGAACTTGAAATATATCATGATCATTTATAATTTTTTGTCATTTAACTCACTTTGATTTGTGTATAGTCATTAACAAAACAAACGAAGCGTGTTTAAATTAAATAAAAAAAAAACTATTTCAAAATCGTTTTTAAATGGCCTAAATTGCATTAAAAAATGCCTATGCAGATATAACTCTGTTTTAACACCAGGATGGCTTAGTGACATTAAAATGTGGGACTAGTTTTTCAGAAAGTGAAGATCTTTCACAACTATCCTTAGGACAGTTTTATGATCTGCAGAAAAAACAAGAAAGCGGTAAAGGAAAAAGAAAGTGATACATACTTGTACGTCCAGGCACCACCAGCCACTGTCTTCTTGCAGGACCCACAGTGCCAGATACCGACAGCCCTCCTCTTCATCTTAGTCTACAAACAGAAACATTTTTGTGAAATTTCTCGAAGTACAACACTAACATTTTACTACACAGTTCAGACTTCATACCAACATCTATGCATCAAGATCACACTCTGCAAAGTTATTAATATCAAAATCACACAATTATAAACCTTGCCTTGCCACAGAAAGAGCAGGTATATTTCGCGTGCTGGGAGATTTCAATTTTCTTCACCATTTTCCTCAGCGACGCGCCATAACGCGTGCCGTATTTACCAACAATCCCCACCTTCTTGGTGCGTTTGGCCTGAAGACAAAACAAAATAATATCGGTTACATTCCTACAGATGTGCCATTCGTAGGATTGATTCTGTCTTCACAGATTAAGAAATGTATAACATAACACAAACTACATTAAAGTGCTAAATTTAGCTAAGCAGAATATACATGGGAACAGGTTTCATCTGAGGTGTGTAGACCTTGAGTGAAACTACCTGATCAACTCAAGCTTCCCCACAAATTTCATTTCAAGTTACGAAATTTCCGGTCAGTATGAACATAACTACTACTGTAGAACCATGTCGCTTCATATCGCCGTAACAGCAGTACCTACTGAAATGTGCTTAATGGAGAATTGGGAAGTGAGACAGTAAGCCGAAGTGACTAGCCCACCCGGCTAAAAAAGCTATGGCGGCAGCCATTTTTGTCTCAATGGGACATTAAAAACCATCGTTTCTACTGCCATAATCTCTAAAATCACGCAAATAAGCATAAGGATTTACTAGAAGGGGCACCACAAAGCCTTCGAAGGATTCGCCGTGTCACTCAAAACACGGGAATCATAAGATTGACAAGGATTGTTCGGGAGAGAGCTAACCTCACCATCGTTTCTGTAGAGACGTAGGTCCAAAGAGGGAGTACTCACTGCGCAGGCGCGATTTACTCAGTCCTTCTCGGGCATTGTGGGACTTTGAGTTTTCTTTTGAAGGAAATGATTTTCAACACAAACGTTAGTCTTACATTTTCTTTTTACATAACAATTCATTTCTATAGTATTGACTATGTTTCATGTTACGCCTGTATGACAAACACCTCAGACCAAAAAAAAACAAACAAACAGTAAGATATTTTTTTCAAGGCGTAACTAAGGACGCTTCATTAGCTGGGCGCATGCGTATTCACGGTGTGTGGAATACACTTCTCTGAGGCTGAGATGATACGTTTGTCCGTCCACTATGTCATTATGCGACCTTTGTTCGTTGTTAAAATAAGCATACGTAATTAAAATATCCTTATTTTTGATTAAGATTGGTGAAATGCCATGAAGCTAACACGGAAGCTGATTCTTGCTAAAGCTAAGGCCTCCGACTTGCAAAGTGTGAGGAAACTTAACTGCTGGTAAGTGTCTAAATGTCAGGGCGAGCTGTGAGTTACTGTCTTTTTGCTCTACATTGTGGTAACTTTGTGTGTGTGTGTGTGTGTGTGTGTGTGTGTGCGTGTGTTTGCAGGGGATGCAGCCTGACAGATGTAAGTGATTTTTCATTTTTGATGTAAATCTGCTCTCTGCTTTGTTACAGTCCATCATACCCATTGTTGTTGTATGAGTTTATGAATGAGTGTCTCTTTTTCAGATATCTATTTTCTGTCAGGTACCCAACATTGAGGTGCTCACACTGAGGTCAGTTTTTCTTTAATTTAGAACGTTCCTTTTAGTTCTGACATGATGGTGGCACACCTTTAGGTCTTGTGATGTTTTCTCTGCCTGCAGCGTTAACAGCGTCGCATCTCTGTCTCCTCTGACTGGTTGCCTGTCGTTGAGTGAGCTCTACCTGAGGAGGAACATGATTCCGTCCCTCTCTGAATTGTGTCATTTGCGTCCGCTGACACGTCTCAGAGTGCTGTGGTTGGCTGAAAACCCATGCTGTGGAAATGACCCGAGCAAGTATCGCCTCACTGTGCTGCGCTGTCTCCCTCGCCTCCAGAAACTTGACAATCAGGGTGATTTTATGATGCTGCTGCACATCTTCTGCTCAGAATCACATGCCATAACTTCTAATAGCTCTTAAAAGGTGTTGTTTAGTTTTACTTTGAATCTTTAAAACTTCCAGCCTAGAAATGTAGACCAACTGTAGCAATGGCAAGAGATTTTGCTCTGCATATATAGGACGCCAAGCTAGATAACTGCAGGTTACAGAACAATCTTTGAACGGCTCCTCTATGAATGACACTTCGTGTGTGCAGTGGTGACTGAGGGTGAGATCGCACTCGCTCTCATGGAGGGTGAAGAGGTCAGTACACCTCCAGGTAGTGTCCAGAACCAGCTCTCCAACAACGGACTTCCAGAAGCAGAGACAGAGAACGATGCACTTAACTACAACATGGAGGAGACCAAGTGGGATTTAATTGTTTTTAACCAGAACACAACAAATAAACAATATACAAACAATTTGAGGCAATAATAAACCTTTTGTTGTTGTTGTTTTTATAGCAAAATCAGAGAAGAACTGGGAATGAAGCCTCTCTCCAGGGACAAGTTCTCCTCTCCTTCTTCTCCATCCATCATTGAGAGACCAACAATGAGAAAGGTAGCATTTGTCAGTAGCGCCATTTTCAAACCTCATTGTGTTGAATCTGACTTAAGCCTGGAAAACCTGAATGCTCTGTCTTTTCAGACTCATACACTTGATGCAGTTCTGCTTCTGTTGAAGGACTTGGATGAAGAGGAGCTTCATATTGTCCACACAGCCACACAGAACAGGCTGCAGACGTACACACTGGACTCGGGAGATGTTCAAAGTTTTCCAGCTCAAAAAACTGCAGACATTCAACACTAGCCTGTTTCACAGCATCAACTCCAACGCCTCAATCCCTTTTCCACTTCAAACCGCCGGATTCTGAGGGACGGAGATCTTTCTGCATGCAAAATGCACCACATGTAATTTTCATTTCACTGCCACTTTCACTTTTGTGAGACTTTATTTGCAGCATCATAGCGGCATGCCTACATGTCTTGAAAGAACAAAAGAATGTATGCTGTGCAGAATGTCTAGATCTATTTCTGTAAATAAAAACTGATCCAGCTCTTTTGGGAAAGCATTTAAAGTCCATCATGCTGTAAGTCACGCATAAATGGTTTTATTGGTTGCCATAATGGAATGGTACATGGCCTGTATTTGTATAGCAGCCCAGTGTGAAGCTGCTGGGATGAAAAATAATCTCTAAATCCGATACCATGATCTTGAGTGGGTCAAGGGTAGAATGCCTTCTCCAGAGCAGGGATGAGGTCCTGCCTGGAGGAGTTAAAAGTATTTTGGGGTCTTGTTCACGAGTGACGGAAAGATGGAGTGTGAGATCAATAGGGGGATTTGTGCTGCGTCTGCAGTGATGCGGGCGTTGTATCAATCTGTCGTAAAGAGAGAGCCGAGTCCCTCCGACCACCACCAGCAGGCAAGGTGGGTTAAGTGTCCTGCCCAAGGACACAACAGAAGCATTCTCTGTTGGGAGCTGGGATTGAACCTTCAACCATCTGATTACTGGACAGTCTGCTCTACCTCCCAAGCTACCGCTGCTGAAGAAGCTTCTCATGGGTAGACTGACATACAAATCCTCCCTCAGGCTTAAACTATTTGATTATTATATTATTTTGAACCATTAAGTGTTTTTCTCATGAACAGTAAAAGATAGCATTTTAGAGCATTTTTACCATGAACGTACTAAAATGTGTAATCCAGATGAAGTTATCTGAGGTTTTCTTATACTCTATATACTTCTACACTGCAGAGCCGCCTCAGTATGCATCTCTTTTGGAAAAGTTTTTTTTTTTTTTACAACTTTTGCATACAGTAGATCTGGACCTGACCACCAGACTAGAATATATATAGACAAGAGGAAGAGGTTATGGGAATCCTGGACCAGGGGACCACCAGTCTGAGTTTAGTCTCTCCCTTCACCTGGGACCAGTTTGTTAGTTTCGGGTGACCCAGCTGGGAGCAGAACCCTCCTGGCCAACATAACCCTAAGGATCATAGTACTCAACCTCCACCAGGATAAGATTGTGGCTCAAGAAGGAGTTTAAATGTTAAAATGTAATTATTGCTGTTAGAGTTTGGAGCTAATTGTACCTTTGTGGCAAACTTCTGATGAAATGTTCAAATCCAGTATCAACATTTTTCTTAGGGATCAACTAAACTAATTTTATTTTCTCTAAATCTAGATCTAAAAGCTCAGTGAAGGTTCTGTGTTCTAGATCAGTTTTAAAGGATGATGCATTGATGACCTTTCATATTCTAATGCTAATATTCTAATATATATTTGCATAACATAATATATATGCAAACTTTGCTAAGCAATAATTCGGTCTAGTTCACTAGGCCTACTTGAACACAGTTTTCATTGTATTTTATTTTTCTTGTTGATGTATTATTTTGTTTGTTTTAACTGATTTTAATCCTCTGGGACTATCGTGGATTTTGTTATTGTTTATGATCACCCTCAGTTAGGTCACTGTTGTTTATTCTAAACATGCTTTGTATGTACAGATTTACCACAATAGTCCATCTGTTTTAGATACTTTTAAAACCAGGATGATTGCCACATCAGAGTTACATATTCCTCTGACAACAGTAAAGCGCTAGACTGAAATGTCAAAGGTGGAAGGTATTTGAAAGATAGTCTTG